GAACAACAACACACAACATATTACACCATGTCATGATTTGGTGGTGCCTCGCTTGACAAGGATAATCCGTTCCAGCGAAATCGCTGTAGAGCGAAATCCTTGTCAAACGAAATTAAAAAAGCCCATTGTAATGCATTGAAAACCGGTTTGATGTGTTCCAATGGGCTAAATACCTCAGCATCCAGTGAAGATCCTCCATAGGGCGGCCATTTTCGGGTGCCTGTAAAGTGGAAAATCCATCCTAAAGCACAGCAGGGAGCCATTTTACACAGTGGCTGGCCATTTTGAAACCCGACGATCAGCTATTTTGATCGTCGTAATGCAAAGAATCGGTTCCTGAAGCAGGGAACTGATCGTTGGGAAGCAAAAAAAGCCCTTTGAAACATCGTTTTGCGATCGCAAAAGTGATCACAAAAACCTCATCGTCAAGCGGATTCGTCGTTTAACAAGGTAATTAAGCAAGGCACCACTGTAAAGCCAAAATGGAGAAGCCATATATGAAAAACTAAGTACACCTTTACTGCTTCCATAGGAATTAGGAGGCCAGGTGCTGCTAAACCAATGCCCCTAAGTAATTGATCATCAGCAAATACAACCACCTCTATAAAAGCTGAAGTTTTAGCAGTTTGCGGATCTGGAGCATTCAGGTGTGTGTTTACACAGTGCCAAGGAGGAAACACATTAACAGTGATCATAGAGAAACAATTGTTGCTACCCATCAATCTGGGAAAGGTTATTAGGCCATTTCGAAACAATTTAGAGTCCCTCATTCTAGTGATGAAGGTTATTTGCAAGTGGAAAACATTCAAGACAATTCCCAGGAGTGGACATCAAAGCAAATTCACCCCAAGTTCAGACTGTGCAATGCTCAAAGAAATTGCAAAAACCCCAAGAGTTACATATCAGACTCTACAGGCTTTAGTTAGCATATGAAATGTTAAAGTTTATGACAGTACCATTAGAAAAAGACCCAAGAGTTACATATCAGACTCTACAGGCTTTAGTTAGCATATGAAATGTTAAAGTTTCTGACAGTACCATTAGAAAAAGACTTTAGAAGGGTTGCCAGAAGAAAACCTCTTCTCTCTAAAAAGAACATGGCTGCACGGCTAGGTTTGCAAAGTTGCATCTAGACAAACTACAAGACTTCTGGAACAGTGTCCTTTGGACAAACAAGACCAAAGTGTAGATGTTTGACCATAATGCAAAAGTCCATGTTTGGCACAAACCAAATACAACATATCAACACAAACACCTCATACCAACTGTCAAGCACAGTGGTAGATTTGTGCTTGTTTTGCAGTCCGACCAAATACAACATATCAACACAAACACCTCATACCAACTGTCAAGCACAGTGGTGGATTTGTGCTTGTTTTGCAGCCCGGGGACCTGGGGCATCTTGCAGTCATTGAGTCAACCATGATATCCTCTGTGTACCAAAGTATTCTCAAATGTGATGTGAGGCCATCTGTCTGACAGCTAAAGCTTGGCCGAAATTGGGTCATGCAACAGGACAATGATCTCAAGCACACCAGCAAATGTACAGTGGAATGGCTGAAAAAAAAAAAAGAATCAAGATGTTTCCCATTCAAAGTCCATTTCAACCCAATTGAAATGCTGCAGTGGAATCTTACAAGAGCTGTGCATAAACAGATACCCACAAACCTCAATGGACTGAAGCAATGTTGCAAAGAAGAGTTAGCCAAAATTCCTCCACGATTATGCGGGAGACTGATAAAGTCATACAGAAAATGATTAATTCAAGTTATTGTTGCTAAAGCTGGTTCCACAGGCTTATTGTATCATAAGGTGCTCTTAGCTTTTGACACGTGGCTTTTCCATGTTGGCTTTTTGTTAAATAAATAATGAAATGGTGTAATACGTCATGTTTTGTTTGTTCACCTGAGGTTGTATCACACGGCAGCATTGGGAAACTTTATAAGCTTTCCACTCTTCAGTCTCAGCTCTATGTACTTATTTCATGACTGAATCGAAATCCAAAGATGGCTTGTGACCCGAACAGCAATCCCCTCCCTGATTTGGGGCAAGGTGCCCCCTGTTGGGCCATGAACCATCCCTGTTAGGTTTCAGAGGTGGATGATGCCATCGAAATCCAAAGATGGCTTGTGACCCGAGCAGCAATCCCCTTCCTGATGTGGGGCAAGTGCCCCCTGTTGGGCCATGTTAGGTTTCAGAGGTGGATGATGCTACTTGGGTTGATGGAAGATTTGATGGTATTTCCTAAGCGATATTATATATAATACCTGCTCTTTATCTTACAGCTTCTGTGCATTTGGTTCACAGACCTAGGTGAAAGTTAGAGCTTGTTCTGTTATTGAAATTCCCCCTTTCAAGCAAAGAAATCCTTGGCTAGTTGAAGATTTTGTTACAGGACCATACAAACACATTTCATGTGTACCCTCACCTTGATTAAGGAACACACTTTAGGTGATGTTACAGAAAAAAGATATAAGTAAAACCCCAACTCTTCTTTTTGGTAAGAAATTGGTCAGTGAAGTTACCCTTTGCCTCTTTTGTATATCTTATACTTGCTTTTGCAGTTGTATTTCCCTCAGGTGTGACAAATTTTTTACATGAAAATGTTATGAAGAAACATTTTCATTAAATTAAATTCAAACTGAAGGGGAGAAATTTAATTCAGACATACTAGAATGATGTTTCTTGGAAAGTATGTCAACATTCTTGTTTTACATAGAAATTCAGTACTCACCCAAAACTGTTCCCCTGACTTGAAGAACTGAAATGTATGCATACCATTTTTTCTGGCATTTCCTATTGAAAATACTGTGGTGAAGGCCTATATAAAGATTGCCTTATAACTGTAGCATAGCTATTACTATGGCAGGATTGAAAGGATTGTGTTACTGCAGAAGCTAGACTGATGTGCCTACATCTATTTAAATTCCTAGTGAGTGGAGCCTTAATCAAAGTATGTTTGCAGAACGTCTGTTTCTTACTTCACCTCTCTGTTCTTGTTCTCTTACACAGCTGCTCCCATTTTAAAAGGTCATAGCAGAAAACACTTGAAGGATTACTTATAAAGAGTGAACAGTTTAATTCTTACTCGTTTGTTCCTGAGGCAAATTCTGAATTAAAATTAGTGGGAGCTTCAGTACTCATTGGTCAAGAAGCATTGTCATGAGAGAATTCTCTACTTTCTGTAAAGCACAGATTTAAATGCAAGTTCACAGAACTTTAGAGTTTTTTTTCTTTTCTTTTTTCAAACATTGACTACTAAAATGTTACACTCAGTCCTGAGCAGTGCAGCCTAGGAATGCTTCAGACCAGTTTTGTACCTTGGGGAGACAAATACCCAATCTTGTCCTTTAATCTTCTATTGATGAGAATCAGAAGTAGAATTTATAAGGAAATGGCAAACATACATAAATTTGATTAGTGCAAGAACAAGAGATTAACTGAATCAAATATTATGTATATCAGATTTCACAGCAGCCTTCTCTGTAGGTCTTTTATTATCTTTTGCCCTTATCTGTGTACATATGATGTCCTCTAGCGCATGGACATTTCTGTATTTTTTTTCCTGGGCATGGCACACCTGGGTGCTCGAAAGGAATTCTGCTATATCCTCGAAAAGACATAACTGGATTTATGGAGGTGGACACTGCTCAAATTTCCCCAGAACTCTAGCAATCATAGGAGACTCTAGGAGTATAACATAGCCCCATATTTATATGGCAGTACTCCAGGGTGTATTCAAAAGGAGACAAGTCCAAGAACATCTGGAGGCCCAAGGTTGGGGACCACTGCTCCAGGGTGTATTCAAAAGGAGGCGTCCATAGTATATTAAAGAACATACTGTACATCTGTTTACAGAATAATAAGGATTTGTATATGCTTTTTAAAAATATGGCTAGTACATGTCCCATAAGCACAGTGGGTCCTTTGGTATAGGGTTCCCCAGGATCCCAAAAGCACTGATTTTGGGAAAACTGTGAAAAATGTCAACCTATTTTAACATATCTAGTAATTTAACAATGTTTATTGCTTTTCTTTTTGTTCAAAATTGCTTTTCTGCACCTTTATTGATTCAATTGATTCAAGGGAGTCTTCAGTCAGACTTTTTACCTCCTTTAATAATTACTTACAGGTTAATTGTTGCTATTACAGTATTTCCTATTAGCATGTCTTGATGCTGTTTAGGCATCAGAGCACTACATAACTACAATTTTCTGATGCTTAAAATGTGCCTCATCATTGAAACAGGTAATAACAAACAAGTCTCCAATTAACATGGGAGGAATCAAGGAACACTCAAATTGAAGACTTCCTCATACAGTTAAGACATTAAATTATAGAGAAGCATTTTTTAAACAAAAAGTAGAGTAACAAACAATTTTAAATTACTAAAAAAATGTAAATAAATATTTAACAATTGCTGTGAAGCTAGGAATATGGGTAGGGGCTGTGCCACTGATTTTCAGCAGCAGATTGCACCACCATTTTTTGGTGGCCTTTTCCCCCTGGAATCTTCAGGGGCGCAGTTCTGAGATGCCAGCCAATATGAAAATTGGTCCTTAGCCTCTTTAAAATTGCCCACCCCCCAAAATGAATGATAATGTAAATTTGTATTCATCCAATAAAATTGACTTTTTTTGTCCTAACATTTTGTATTAGCATGGACAAAGGCACCTCTATGCCAAAGTTGATTTATTAGGACTTTTTTTTTTGGCCCAAGCTGTCTGTGTTTAAAAATAATTGTACCTGGCATGCAGCATAAATGTAGGTGACAATGTCATAGAAAGCCTACATTGTAAGCCTAATGCCTTTTGGATTCTGAAATAAAATGTAACTCTGACCCGTCTTAGTGCATGAGGGTTAATTAAGTTTCAGATCAATAAATGAAGGATTACTGGTAGTTCAGGGGTTCCATATTATGAGATGTAGGGCTGCAGCTGTAGTATTGTTATGTTTTGTCTTCTATGCAGTTTTACATGCTTCACTATTTTTCATTCTAGAAATAAGAGTAAACCACCAAGTCATCCAGTCCTGTCTTCCATATCCATTCTTTTTTGTTATCATCTGGGAACAGTTGTGAAAGGGTCCCTTATAATCCCAATAGTGAGAGTCCCAAGGATAATTCTATTGTCTGTTTCTGACATCTTGAAAAAAAAGGTAGGATTGTCATGTTGTTTTATAATACTGTAGTATAGCCATTATAAAATAAAATGTAGAAAAGTTAGCAGTTACTGATCAAGAGGAAAAAATACAGTTTTTTATGTACAGTACTTATTCATTGAGCTCCATCCTAAAAGGTCACAGCAGGTAACAGTTTAAAGTCATTGAACTCCACTGAAACAATCTTGGAAATATTAAAAGTCTTCTACGTGAATGAATTGACCAAAACTGTTGTCAATCAGCCCAAACAAACATCTTCTGATAAAGGCTTTTTAGAAGGTTTCTAAAACGTGCTTAAACTGCAACTTCAGCATATCTCTAGGTGAAGGGAGTTGCATCACTGGTGGATTAGCCACTGTAAATGTCAGGGCACCTTTTTTCTAGAGAAAAAAAGCAAATTATGAAGATAGAAGGCAGTGTACTGTTGAACTACGGAGGAAGAATTGGGGAGACAGGTATTTCAGTGTCGGGTTCTAAACTCATTTGGGTAGAATGATGTTCAGACAGACTTTCCTGCTGCTTGAGTTTATTAACAAATAACAGTATGGATATCTAGGACAGGGCTAAGTCAGAATGATTCATTATCTGGTGTAGTGTCAAAAATGTTCTGGCTCTGGCTCCCCCCCCCCAGCAATCCTTTGAAAATGTGCCCTGTTTATGTCCATTGCGCTTTCATGTGCTGTCTGTTGGCTTCAGCTGAGCTGAGGTTTGTAGCCAAATCTGATTGACTGCATTATTGTCTTTCCTAAGTTATAGTTTATTGATTTGCTAGTCTTGCTCATTTGCCTTCTCAAGGAGGAACAATGAAGCAGAAACTAGAAGGAACTAGAAGCACTAAAACCAAATTTCTTCATTATGTTTATCATTTCTTGTTCTAAAATCTAAACAGAGTATTTGATGCAGCCCTAATTTAGACATGTATCTGCTTTGTACCAACTTACTGATGATAGAGAGCAAAGCACTTGCTGCAGTTTGTCCTTTACCATACATTTTCTACCCCTAAAATGCCATCGCAACACTTTGATGGTTGCTTTCATACAATAGGAGATGTGATATTCAAAGAATTTTTTTTAAGTATAAACGCTTTCCCAAGTGTTTCAAATTCAGATGTGTGTTCTCACATGCACAATATTTGCTCACATAGGAGACTAAGAAGCAGCATTATATCATAAGATGTGAACATAAAATATGAACTTTACAAATATACAGTATTTTCTGGTGTCAGTAACTAACATTACTTTCCCTCCCTAGGAAAATGCATGTGCAAGGTGCATGTTCAAATGCTGTTGTTGCTGTTTCTGGTGCCTTGAAAGAAGCTTAAGATACTTACACCAGGTATATTATACCCAATGGATTTATTTATACATGTTTGAAATGTTGGAAGGAATATCTTGGAATAAAAATGGAAGTTCTTATCGATAAAATGTTAGTGGCAAACTTTTAGGTCTTCTAGGTAGAGAGTACTTGGAAGTGGTATACCATTCCCTTCTTCTGGTGGCAGCCATGGGACTATGCAGTTTGGCCGAGGCCATACAGGCTGGCTCGTCCCCCTGGAGGCACAGTGGGGAACTGAACTACCTAATTCATTGAGCTGTCCAGCCTTTGAGCATAACACAAGCTTTTGTATATCTCATAGGCTGAAATTTAGTAGTATGTTGCAACTAGAGTAGGCCACTTGAATCAGTAAGGAGTCAGTATTAATTCAATGGGTCTACACTTATTCTAAGGTACTCCTGGATTTCAGAAACTGATTTCAGTGAGAGAGATCTGAGCACATGTCAGATTATTTCACCTGCTTTTTCTTGATTTTGTCGATAGCTACAGTAATTCAAATGGGATGTGGTGGCGCTGCAGGTTAAACTGCAGAAACCTCTGTGCAGCAAGGCCGGAAGACCAGTAGTCATAAGATCGAATCCATGTGACGGAGTGAGCTCCCGTCGGTTGTCCCAGCTCCTGCCAACCTAGCAGTTCGAAAGCATGTAAATGAGATTAGATAAATAGGGACCGCCATGGTGGGAAGGTAATGGCATTCCGTGTCTAGTTGCGCTGGCCACATGACCACGGAAACTGTCTACAGACAAACGCTGGCTCTACGGCTTGGAGACGGGGATGAGCACCACGCCCTAGAGCTGGACACGACTGGACTAAATGTCAAGGGGGGCCTTTACCTTTACAGTAATTCAAGTAGAATTTCCTTTTGGAATAAAACAGATTTAAGTTCTATTAGACATAGCTGCATAAAATGTACTTTTGCTGTAAGGCTCTTGATCTTGTAGTGCCTGTGGATGTTACTCTTATTTGGTTGTTAGTCCCATTACATTTTATCTGGCATGAAGGATTTTTCATTTAACTGGGTTGTACATAAATGTCAGCTAACAGTTAATAGTCTTGCAATTTAATTTCTGCAAGTTGCTATTGGGAGACAAGCCTTTGTAAATCCTTACTTGGCCTTAAAATTGCCTGTAGATAACCCCTAACACAGAGGAAGTATTTATGTACTGCAAATGAAAAAGAGCATGACTTACCGTACCTTTAGTAATTAAATAGTAATAGCAAGACCCATGACTGTGCAGTATATGTCCACATAATGCACTGAGAAGATAATGTTAGGAAGGTAGTAATTGCAAGAGATGATGAAGTCAATGAAAGGTAACATACTTGTTTTGCTTTAGAGAAGGCAGTGTTTATTCCACTGCATAACCTCCTAATAACTTCTTAAACTTTTTTTAAAAGGAGGATGGGCACAAATGAGGAAAAGGTACCTCCTATTCTTAAACTTTTTTTAAAAGGAGGATGGGCATAAATGAGGAAAAGGTAACTCCTATTGTGGAAATCTAAGTGCACTTTTGGTCTTAGGTTCCTTCCTTCCCTCTTTGTATGTCAAGAAGCAAGACAAATAAAGGTCTGAAGAGCAGTACACCTCAGGCAGAGATGAACTTGCAGAAGGAACTATAGGCTTGTGGGAGCTGAAAAGAATTATGAATGGAAAATGACAAGAACAAAAAGGTGATTTTAGGAGATGGGCAGTGGAGAGAGACAGCTTTCCACACTACATCACAAGATACGTCACTTCCAGTTGAAATGATGGGGCAGTGTACCTAATTTAGCTAAAGCCTGAAAAGACAGTGCTGTGATTTTTTCCCCCTAACACTGCTGTGTAGCAGCACTTCAGAGCAAACTAACAGTTGACATTTTTTAAAAAATAAATTACTTGTAATTTTTAAATTACGTTTCAAAAATAAAGGTAAAAAGAAAGGTATGATTATAACAGTCTCAAACAAAATTCTGTATCTTTTCACACAATTATATACCTTTAGGTTTTCATCTTTTGATTTCTGATATGCAAGGCAGATCTTTAATTTAACTTATAATGTTGACCTAGGAATTTATAAAATTCTGACCATCTTTCTTCAAAGTCCTCCTCACGTCCATTTTCTTTAAGTAATATTGAGATCTTATCCATTTCTGCACAGTTCAACACTTTAATTATTATTTGGTCTTCATCAGGGATCTTATTCGTCTTCCATATTTGTGCATATATCATTCTAGCCGCCGTAATGACATGAATCATTACAAATTTCTTTCCCTTGTCCATATTTTGTTGAATCATAGGCAGTAGAAATGTTTCTGGTTTCAGCTCAAGATTAACCAACATTGTTTAATAAATGCTCATACTCTACCCCAATAACTTCTTACTTCCTTACACGTCCACCACATATGGAAGAAAGATCCCCTTTGTTCACTATATTTCCAACAAATATTAGATGCTTTATACATTTTAGACAATTTATCAGGAGTTATGTTCCACCTATAAAACATATAAGGAACATAAAACATAATATAAGTTTTCTTTAAGTGTTATTGACTTTGTGATCCTAATATTAATCTTCCATAGTTTTCCCCATTCTACCAAAGGAATTTCTGAACCTATATTCTGAGCTCATCTTATCATACAATGTTTTTATTATCTGTCTGTCTAACCAATAGGTAATTATAGATTTTTAAAATTAATTTTCCATTAGACAAAAACATTATTTTATCAAAATCGACTTCTTGATTTAAGAAAACATGCTGATTTTTATCGCTGTTGAACCAGGATTTTATTTCCATATCTAGCCACCAATTTATTTTAAACTAACCGTTGACATTTATGGAAAAATGGGAACGAGGTGGTTTGGAAGAAATATATAGATTCTCTGGAATGAATGAATGAATGAATGAATGAATGAATGAATGAATGAATGAATGAATAGCTAGTGTCAGTATCAGAGGAAAGGGCTAGGACTGACACTGATTGTATTGGAAGATGCATGCTTATTAAAGAGGAACAACATGCTTGACGATCAGTGTGATAAGAATTGCTGAATTCTGTCTGAATTAAAGCAATTGCCTTATCTTCTGATTTGTGAATTTACCTTTTTAGGTGCTAACCCTGAGGGCTGTTCTCTTTCATTAAATTTCTTCAAATGTGTATGAGTGACCCTTTAGACAAATGCAGCATTGTTGGTAGGAGGCTACCTTATGCTGAACATTGGTCCACCTAGCTCAACGGTGTCAGTTCTGACTGGTAGCAACTTCCCAGGGTTTCAGGCAGGGTTCTTTCTGTGAGATCCCTGGTGTTCTCTGGTGACTTCCCATCCTAATCCCAAGCATGCCTGGCCCTTCTTAATTCTGACAATCAGGCAAGATCAGATTGCTTGTGCTAATATGCAAGTTTGGGGAAGAATTCCAAGTCTGCGGTTTTGGAAGAGGGAAGTAGTTATAGAGAAGAAGCAATGATTATTTTCTCCTGGGATAAACAAAGAGAAAAGTGGATTGAAATGCATCTGTTCTATCTGGGAGAGGGCCATTCCACTCAGAGTTGCTGCGTTTGCTGCCACTTTATTTGTGCTAGGAAACAAACAATCTAGACTCGGACTTCAGCGGTGGGGAAAAAATCTCTTTAAGTGGCTGATTTGGCAACAAAGGAGCCTCAGTCTTCAATGTCTACAATACTGGTTTGACAGAAACACCTGACAGAAGCATTAATGTCTGCATTCCAGTTTGTAGCGCTTTCAAATCAGTGTCAGGCTTTGGAATTAATTCATCTCCTCAAACCAAAAGCCTCAATAACATTAACCTTGACGTCAGCAGCTCCAACAGCATCATTGTTGGCTTTGGTAAAGGAAAACAGCACTGTCTTCTGTTCATGCCAGGAAAGGGAAGAAAGAAAAGCAATGAAACAGGAGAAAAAAGATAAATGATCTCCTTAAAAAAATGAGCCATAGCACCGATGGTTCTGCAGCTGGATATGCCAAAACTATCTTGAACACTTGCTGTATAACTCCTCTGACAAGAAACCTCAGAGGAAGAGGTAGTGTGTATCTGCTTCTGTTTCAGAAGGGGAGTTAAGGAGTGCATCCCTTAATAGTGCAGCTCATTCTTCTTCTCAAACAAGAAAAATTCAAATCACACACTTAATACCAGAAGTATTCGACATACTGAATGTAAAGGATACCTACTTCCATATACCCACCTGATCACAATTGCTTCCTACATTGCATGCTGGGAAACAACATCTGCAAATCAAAGTACTCCATTTTGACCTAGCAACAGCAGCCAGAATATTTACGAAGTGCATGGCGCCAGTGGCTGCATGCCTGTGGATTTGAAGTATAAATGTTTCCCCATATATCAGCTATTGGCTCCTAGCTGTGGATTGATGCCAAACACTTCAGAAGAATCTGCAGTTCACCTTAAAGCTTCTATTCAATCTTAGTCGTTGTGTAAATTTGAAAAAAATCCCAATTGAACTGGACAAAAAACAATTCAGTATATAGGAGCTATGTTAGACTCTTGCCTCTGAACAAAATGCACATTATTACTCTAGTACAAGGTGTTTGTGAAATGATCACTGTGCGAGCTTTTCAGTTCAGACTTCTATAACCACCTATACTGGTAACTACAGATGCAAGCCTCATGGAATGGGAGACACATTGCCATGGCAACAAAATACTGTACATGGTTTGTGGCCTCTCTCAGAAAGTAAACTACACAGACATAAACTATTGGCAGTTACCCAAAGCTTTCAAAGTCTTTAAACCTCTTAATTGGCAGAGTTGTATAGGCGGCCATGGGCAATATGACTACCACGTATTCTATAAATACCCCGTTTCTCTGAAAATAAGACCTAACCTGAAAATAAGCCCTAGTATGATTTTTCAGGGTGCTTGTAATATAAGCCCTACTCAAAAAATAACCCTAGTTAAGTGAAACCCTACCCTCCACCATTGTGCAGCAACCAGAAGATGACATGACTGTATTTGAATAAATGTAGATTGTTGTGCATGAAAAAAAAATCCCCTGAAAATAAGCCCTATTGCTTTTTTTGGAGCAAAAATTAATATAAGACCCTGTCTCATGGGAAAGGAAACACGGTAAGCAAGGTGGAGCTCATTCTCTACAACTCCTTTTTCTAGCAGGGGACTTACAGGAGTGGTTCATAGCTAGAAATACCTATCCAATAACAGTAGATTATTAGCAAGTGAAGACATCAGATATCATATTGCCTCAGCTGTCAAAGCATTCAGTCTCTTGAATGCAAACCGTCACCAGCTGTGGATCAACCAAGCATAGAGTAAGCAAGGTGGAGCTCATTCTCTACAACTCCTTTTTCTAGCAGGGGACTTACAGGAGTGGTTCATAGCTAGAAATACCTATCCAATAACAGTAGATTATTAGCAAGTGAAGACATCAGATATCATATTGCCTCAGCTGTCAAAGCATTCAGTCTCTTGAATGCAAACCGTCACCAGCTGTGGATCAACCAAGCATAGATCTATTTAAAATTCACCTGAACAGCACATTCCAGGTACAGTGGTATCTCGACTTACGAACGTCCCTACTTGCGAACAATTCGAGTTATGAATGGCTCCATTTGCAAAAAGTTGCTTCAACCTGTGAGTGGAGCCGGTAAGGCCTCGACTTACAAACCAAAAAGACAAAGGAAAAAAAAAAACCTTTCCTACCCTTTTTTTGACCTAAGTTCACCTTAGGTCAAAATAAAATAAAATAAAATAATTCAAGATGCTGGCCACAGAGACTGGCGAAACGTTAGGAAGAACAACCTTCAGAACATGGTCAAAGAGCCCGAAAAACCCACAACAACCAAAAAAATTGCCCCCTAGTGGTAATGAATTAACCAGCTGTGCATTAGTTCCTATGGGAACTAATGCCTCTACCTAGGAACAAAAAGCAGCAGATACGGATTAAATGGTTTTCAATTCATTCCTATGGAAAAGTTTGGCTTGACTTACAAACTTTTTGATGTATGAACTTAATTCCAATACGGATTAAGTTCGTAAGTCAAGGTATCACTGTATTAAGCTCATGAACAAATCAAGGACCTTATTCAAAGGGGGATGCCTTTATTCATCAGTGGACAAGGAAACTAATGTATCTTTTTCCACCATTTCCGCTATTATATCAGGTGCTAGTCAAACTCAGACAGGACAAAGCAGCTGCCATCCTAATCATGATGGCTATGTCAGCCATGGTTTGTCGCACTCCACTTATTGTCCTTTGAGTTCATCAGACTGCCACTTCACTCAAACCTCCTAATGTGTCAGAATAGAAAGATGTGTTACCTGGATCTTCAAAAACTAAAATTAACAGCTGTCTTCTTGAAGAGTTTACCTAGTAGCTCATCAACCAGACGGAGCATCCACACATGCTTTATTATCTGATCCAGTCCTCAGAAGATTTCTAAGGGGTCTAAATTACACATTCTGACAATAAATGTCCAGTACCATCTTGGTTGCTTTCAGAATTTCTGCACCATTTGAACCCATGTTGACAACAGATATTCATGTATTTACCTTTAAAATTGCCTTTCTAGCAGCCATCGCTTCTGCCAGAAAGGGCAAAGAAACTTCCATCTTTTCTACAATTCCACAAACAGAAGGTCAATTCTTTATCCAGAAGTGTCCTTCTTATCTGAGGTGGTGTTTCAATTTCCGATCAATCAGCCTGTAGCATTTTATTCATCAACTAGAAAAATCTCTACACACTCTAGAAGTGAAAAGTGCCTTGGCTTTCTATATCTCAAGAACTAAGGAGTTTAGGAAAGCTACAAAGCTCTTTAATTGCCATCAGAGGCTCTGTAAAGGCCTACCAGTGTTCACACAATGCTATGCAAAATAGGCACTCTCATACGGATGAGTGAGTGAGTGAGTGAGAGTGAGAGAGAGAGAGAGAGAGAGTATTTTCAGAAAATTAGGTATGGGGACACATCTTCCCTTATAATATAGCAATTGTCCTAGTTGATTATCTTGCCTGAAGTTTTATAGGACATGAAAAAAGCCAATGAATTTCTTTTACAGTAATAGTAAAATTCTACTTTTGCAGATCAGGTTTTAGTTCAACTACTGCCAATTGGCAATCACCCATTCCACAGCACAGTACATGTGGTTTTCTTATAATGCACATACACAATATTTTTTATTCTCCTCTTCACTTTAGCAGACATTATCTCAAGGTGGTTAACCCAAAGTTTCTCCCCACCCCGTTAGTCCTTGCAACTCTGCGAGGTAAGCTAGTCTGAAAGAGACTGAGCCAGGGTTAACCTTGTGGAGATTTGAAGTGAGGCCTTTGTAGCCCTAGCAGAGCATTTTACGTGATACCTGACTCTGACTTCCTGTGCTCTTGGCTGGAGATAGTGTAGCTTTGCTACAAGATGAGCTTTGCTGCCTGCCGTCTGCATGTAACAGTACAAACAGCATTTGCAGGGAGCATACCTTTGTGCATATTGCATAGCACTGTACATGCCGGTGCTTCCCAGTCAGGTTTCCTGATCACAAAATATCTTCACACATGCTGCTGTATTCCTGAAGAGTCCCTTTGTGCAAATTATAGCATGATGTGTGGTGCCAGAGAGGAGGAGCTAATTAGTCCAGTCAATCAAGAGGGCTAGTGAAATTCTGCTCTCTGCTCATGTTCTGACTGAACAGGTGGGTGTCATGCCTATAAGGAGATTAATGTTTATGCTACTGGTCCTTCATTGCCACAAAGCAGGAAGGGGAAAAGTATACAAGTTGTGAACTACAAATGGTTGTGGCCCCAAGCACTGTTGGCCCTCACAGCACTCCCACACACCCCAAAAGTATGTGATCATAGAATTATAGATAAAAATTATCAAAAGATCTCCTTGGGGCCTTTTGGACTACATTTTTGCTAGGTTTTCCATCTCTAACATATATGCAGACACCTAAATTTAAAGTAACAAAATTTTCAATATAGGGTATGTGAATCTTTTTCAGTTAAACAAAGAAATAGTAAAGTTTTATTATGCAGTCATAGACCCAATTATAGAAAGATAAATATATAAAATAAATACATAGTATAGTATGAAATCTTGCTATAGTGTTTTGTGAGTTCTCATATCTGAAAATAAAAACTTAGCCACTAACTCACTAACTGTGTTATTATTTGATTCTCTCCAGACAACAGAAACTTCAGATAACCTGTGGGAGGTAGAAATTATTGAGACCTTGGTGCACATAATTTTAAAATGTCACATATATAGGCTCAAACATATTCAGTATCTTGGTTCAGTCATGCGTAAATGTAGTGGTCTACCTCCCACAACAAATAAATAAATAAATATGCACTGGGATACCAGAGTGAGTGTGATCCTCCACGATCCGGGGGTATGAGTTGCATGGCCCCCGGACCTTTGGAAGTCCTACCCCTATGGTGGGGAAGAGCTTCCCTCTGTTCCCATTTTCCATAGATTGTGCATCACTGCTCTTTCATCTTACTGCTCTGCAATGCAAGTTATAGCACCATAAGGCAACTAGGTTTCATATGGAGACCAGGAAGGTTAGAAGTATAAGCAAGCCAAAAAAGCAAATTACTGTACAATGGCTGACTAGCTTGTTTTTGGCTTCTCTTGAAAGAAGTCTGTTTTGCTATCTTACTCCTCTCTTCACGGAGCTGGTTTTTAATAGAGAATCGTAGAATGGAAGGACAAATTCGGCTGCTAGACAAAGTAGCAATTATTCTTCACAAGCAGAAAACTTTAGGGACTGGAATTGTGCCACAGAACTTTTCTCATGAAACTAACAGGCCAGTTTTTCCAAGACCCTTGACATTCATTCTATGTTCTGTGTTCAGTGTTCTGAAGTACAAATGGATGGGTGTTTTTGTTTTTTTTCTAAATACTTTCTTTGCCGGCTGTACTATTTAGAATTATGTAAACAATCCCATTCCTTTTTTATCTGTGAGAAATATAGCTTTCATTCCCAGACATCAAAACTTAGGAGTCCAAATTTCTTATAAAGGGGGACATAGCATAGTAATGCAAATGCCACAGTGGTCTTGTTTGTTTGTTTGTTTGTTTGTTTGTTTGTTTGTTTGTTTGTTTGTTTAAAATATTTTTACCCTGCCTTTCTCCTTAAAAGGACTCAAGGGTTATTTTTGATTTCCTGCTTTTTGCTGCAGTGGTGAATTGGTTCCTTTGGTCTAGGAAATGGGCTGAACATATGGATTAGGGAAAGATACAGATTAGGGAAAGGTCAGAGCTTGGGCAAGTTACTGTTTTGGACTACGGCTTCAAGCATCTCCAAATCAGTATGACTGCTGGTTGTTCTGACTGGGGGACTGGCTGTAAAACATGATCTGCAAAAACTGAACTGTCCAAAGATTAATGTCAGTAAAAAACATAAATTAATCTGATCAGAGTGGACCAGATTACTGTAAGGTGCTCTACAGTATGTGAGTCTGCCAATGGAAAGTGTCAGGAAATTTCAGCAGGTCCAAAATGCATTACCCCGATTGCTGATTGGAGCTGGTTAAAAGAGATCAGATAACCTCCCAGTTACAGCAGGTCCAATGGCTGCCGATCACCTTCCGGGCACAATTTAAAGTGTTGGTTTTAACTTACCTCCCAGTTACAGCAGGTCCAATGGCTGCCAATCACCTTCCGGGCACAATTTAAAGTGCTGGGTCCAAGCTGTCTCAAAGATCGTATATCCCATTATGAACCAGTTCAGGTGTTAAGATCACCAGGAGAGGCCTATTCTCTCGGTCCCACCACCTTCACAGGTGTGTCTGATGGGGTCACAGGAAAAAGACCTCTCTGTTGCTGCTCCCAAACTTTGGAAGTCCCTCCCATAGGAGGCCAGGCTGGCTCTATCTTTGCTGTTCTTCTGCAAGCAGGACCTTTCTCTTCAGGCAAGCCTTCCCTCAATAACTAGCTACCTATTGTGCAATTTTTAGATGGATTGTTATGGTTACTGCTTTGATTGGATTTTTAGTACTCCTTGTATTCTCCATATTTGTATCTTTCATTTTTTTTTCAAAGAATATTTATTGCTGTTAGCTTTAATACATTCTCCATATTTGTATCTTTCATTTTTTTCAAAGAATATTTATTGTTCTTAGCTTTAATATTGCCATTTAATGATGTAAGATGCCTCCTTACTCATTGTTCTTTAGCTTTAAATATTATCTTTCATTGAAACTAACCACTGTTGTATACTAATTGTTTTCAACTTCAAATATTCTTTTTCAGTGTTGTAAACCTCCTTGGGTCATTTTCAAGGAGAAAGGCAGGGTAAAATATTTTAAGTAAATAAAATAAAATAAAATAAGTGCACTCTTATGCTGAAGGTCCACTTATTTAATTGCTTAACTTTATATGGGTGTTTGACCTCTGGGCTGGATTGTGGCATTTCTCATATTTCAGGTGATAAAGTATTTTTCTGCATTAACGCAACTTAGTACAGTTTTGTCAAGGGAAAGAAATGGAATCTCAGTTGTCTTATGCTTATGTTGGGTGAATTTTGATTCTCTGTGTATGATTCTCTTCAGAATTAGACAGCTCGTTTGAAACAGGATTTACATGAAGATGCTTTCTCCTGTACTTTCTTGTCCTCAGAATCTTCTAGTTGAACTGGCACTGATTTGCATCCATGTGTATCTTTTTTGCCAGTTTGCTGTTCAGCTGTTTTCTGTAATGATCATAGAGACAGAAATCTACTTCTTACAGTATACAACATCACCAAAATCTCTGTTCATTTCAGTTGACTTTTCCAGTTGTGCAGCAATAGAGATTGTTAGTTTTATAGAAGTAGGACAAAAGCAACATCATGTGCATATGGCATAAGGTGTGAAATGCATTTAGGTCTGAATGTTCTGCTGATATCTGCAGGTGAAAAATGTCAGCATCCCAGAATAGTACTGCTAACATATTGTAGCTATGAATGGACATACTATTTTTAGGGATGTATGTTGTGTTGCAGTTTGCTATATAATCAGTGGTAAGGGTTCTTGCTTGAAGCTGAATATAAATTTCGTAAAAAGCTAATAAGCAACTATTCCACAAAATGTACTGTAGTGTTTCTGTCATTTGGGAAGAAAAGAGCGATAGCCATGTTGGTGTGTGAGGGGGGAAAACCCCTAAAATGAATAGTTGGGCAGTGTAATTATTAGCATCAACAAAAGTGTACAGGTTAACTGGGTTGCTTTTGTTTATGTGCTACCTGGAATTGTACATGTCATTCTTTGTATTAACCATAAGAATCTATGGAAGCAGATCTTTCGTGCTGCAGGTTTATTATTTCTCAATAAAGGCATGTTACAATCATTACATGGTCACTATAGCTTAATAACAGAAACAAAAAGTTCTGTAATACTTTAAAGATTAACAAATTAATTGTTGAATGCAATTTATAAGCTACATAAGCTTACTGTGTTAGATGCATCCAGTTCCTTCAGGATTGATATAAAATATCGAGTTTTACTGTGTTTATGGTCCATTCACAGATAACTCTTCTGATGCTTGCAGGTTATATTAGATCTTGTATAGAAGCATAATAGATATTGCTGCTGGATTTATCTTGAGCACTATTGTAACAGAAAGCTTTCCAGAATAGGACTTTCCTGGCTCCTTCCTTGTGTCCTCCAAAAGTTACTCCTAAGGGTTCAGAGAGCTTCTGGTAGAGGAGGAGGGGATGGGAGCAGGGGCCTGCTGAAGGAGAAAAGTGGCAGAACTGGATAGAAGCATTATACATGCAGTACACCCACCTGCTTTTGGCCAGTCCTGCCTCTCCCTTACTCCATTGCACACTGTTCCAGAAGGTCTCCCAGCTCTCAAGACTGGATTAGAAGGGGTGCAGAATGCGGTGTTTCTTTCCACTCTTTAAGCTTCCTGCATTTATGGTTCCCGGGATCATGTGTTAATCCCAAACTTCTTCTTCTTGGTCTCTGTGATTCACACCATTGGATTCTTTCAGCACGTGTGCAGGCATCCTCGGAACATTCCAGAGCCTGAAAATCTGTTAATGCCTACTTTCCCTTCTGTGCCTGTCCCCACCAATCCTCAGTTCCCTTTCATCTGCTGCTGAGGAAACACCTTTGAAGTTTCTGAAGCCTTTCCTCTAAGTAGTTTTTTTTTTCTCCCGTAGATACCTGCTGCTTGTTGATAACCTAACCTTTTGACTAGCTTTTGTTTTGTCCATCGTTTCATCATTATTTCTCCCTGGGGGAGGGGGAATAAAACGTTTTCCCTGTTTTCTCCTATTGAGGCCTTGCCACCTTTTACAGCCTTAGCGAACCCATTCAAGAAGTGTGTCACCTGTAACAACAAGATATTCCTCAATGAGACCTCTGGGTAGTGTGGGCGGCATATAAATTGAATAAATA